ATCTGCTGCCACAATTTTAATATATTTGCTTGCAGCTGTTATTTTTCAACTGTTTAATAGGATTTATTGATGATGGGCATAGTAATTACATTATAAGACATAGTAAATTCATTGTAAGACAGCAATATGGTGAATAGATCATGGATAGGAAATGAAAAAATATGTTAAGTTTGACAATGAATGGAGTAGTTAAGTGGGAAGATATGGGACAATGCTAAATTGGGATAGTCAGAAGGTCATGTAATGACAACTTGAACTTGGCTCTGATTGTGTTTTTTGTTCCCAATACAATCAACCAAGTGGCAGAATGCTGTGATAGCATACTGAGGACATGTGAAATGCCCATTGGATGCAAGTTAATTACTGTATTTCAATATTAAACATTTGATCTATAGCCTCAATACAACTGTTATAATCAACAACAAAAATGGAAGATTTTTTAATACAGATTGTCAAAGAACCATTGGACTATGTTAATCCTAACCATTTAACACAGAACCTTTTTAGTCTAAGCAAATGCTAATTATGTCCGTGCTAGTCCTAGAAGTTTACCAGTGCATCTTCATATTGAGTTCTCATTTTCAATTTACATAGTTGATCTTAAATATATTGCACAGAGATAGCTTTCTAAAAGAATTAAGAGGAATGTATTTCAAGTTAGTCAATACTTTATTTATTTATTTATTTATTTATTTTATTTTATTTATTAGATTTCTCTCCCGCCCATCTCCCCTACAATAGGTGTTGTTACAGTATTATTGCAGGAGTGGGGAACCTGCGGCCCATCAAATATTGCTGGAATTGCTGCAAAATGCAATTTTGACTGTCTTGCAATTTTGACAATTTTGATCCCATTTGACTGTCTTAAAGAATTGTAACAATCTTACACCAATCTTACTAGACCAAACATTCTAACAACATTTCTAAAGCTAATTATAACCAAAAGCCAGGACTATATCTTATACCAAATTCTATAAATGCTTCATATGAACTAATATGAATGATTCACATCTTAACAGCCATGAACTTCCTTTTGTTGTGGCTGATAGCTGCAGTGCACTGAGCTGGCATTCTAAATGTGCTTTCCCCTTCTCATTTGTGTACTCTCTTAAATTAATGGAAATTAGCATTTAAAATCAAATCTGGGTATTTCCCCTCTTCTCCAGAAGTTGCCATATGATGTCCCAGATTATTCAGGGAATGTCCCAACTTCCAGAGATATTTGGGAAGATGTGGAAGGTTGTTGCAGAAAAGAGAGTTGTAAAACTTTAAACAAAGTTACTTGAAGATTCAAGCCTTAATCTCTTGTCTTAGTTAATCCATCAAACAGTAAATGACAAACACACAAAAAAACGGGGGATCATAATATGTTATTACAGAGAATGCATTAGTTTTCTTCAACTTTCTAATTCAGTGCCTGGTCTTATCTCTGAGAACCTTCTACCGTAAGCAATTTGTGATACACATGCTATATTTCAGGTTCCTTTGCAGTGTTTCAGATTCTCTGTACTCTGTTACTGTGATGTGTTGTGATTTACAGTCATCTCTGGTGTTGTTTCAGTTATGAATGATTTTGTAGGAAAGTTGTTGATAGAATAAAATTGAGTCTTGCTTTGGTTTTTAAATTCAGTGTTATAGTACATAGCACAAAAAAAGGAGGAGGATTAAAACATTTCATTATCAACATTCACAAAATGGTCAGCGTATCGGAGATACATTTTGAATTAATAGATAAGGAAACTGAGGTTCATAGAAGAGACATTCTGTTCAAAATATTACTTGCATTGCTTGCTTTTCATCTGCTAATATCCTCACTCCTACATAAATCTGAAGACTCTTCTCAATATTACATCTGCATATGCAGATTCTAAATCATTGCCAAACAGATCTTTATTTAAATATATATTATTTTTAATAAAATTCATGCTAACATTCACAACTCCTTTTATTTATTTATTTTGTTAAGTCTGTATTAATATTCTCTGGATTTTTGGTTTTGCTTTATATTGTTTTGCCATAAATTGTTTAATATTGTATGCTGCCCAGAGTCATGATGGAGTTAGGTGGCCTATGAATTTGATAAATCTGTGTGTGTATATATGGCTGTAGTAGGGTTGCCTCAAATAATGACAGCTATAAATCTAACACTTTTAATATCTTGCTTAATTTAATAAATAATATTCTACTATAGAAGGTAAGTTTTTTTTTCTTTCCTAAACTAGGGTCTAGTAATTAAAATATTGCTTAGATTTTCATTTAGAAATATATGAATATTTGGTTGTTGTTTTTTTCCTTTCTGATAATGAAACTCATAAGAGCATGATTTTTTGTAGCTTAGCAATTGCAAACATTGTGCTCATTCCTGTGATGTTTTCCTGAAATGTTTCATTGTTCCAAATGTGGACTAGGCACCTGCCTCTGTCTCAAAGAAGGAGCCACCGTCCTTGAGTGGAAAGTGCCATTAAAATTATTTTTTATATTTCACATTGTAACTTGCTACTGCATTGATTCCTCCCCCCCCCCATGCTTTAACTCCATCCATAGTTCTTTCTAAGCATAGAAGGATATCCCTCCTCTCTTAATGAAAAATGAGAGAGAGAGAGAGTCACACAACCTGGAGAAATGTAGTTGAAGCTACAGTCCTGAAAGCAGTCTTCCCAGAATATAGCAAGGTTCCCGGTAAATGAGGGGGGAAATGGTGAAATATACTGCAACTGGTATACTGTCAGACCTGTTCCTTGGGGTTGGGGAGATGTCATAGTCAACCATCAGTTCTGTCATTCCCCCATGAGAGCATTTCGCTTTCTCTTCTAAGCAGCGGGTCTGTGCGCCTTTGTATGAATTATGTTCTGGAAAAGAAACGGGTTGGGAAGAATGGGGCTCCGTTGATTAATCATTCCGTGAAATGGGAGATACGAAGCACTTGTGGCTTTGAGGGTTTCTTTAAAGAGGCAGTGTACAGAATCTTGCGGATTGGGCTTTCAGTATGATGAGAGTCAACTACGGCCTGGAGGGACACTTGGAAATGTTGTTCAAGCACAGGAACACAGTTCTCTGCATCGTAACCTATTGCGTTCCATCTCTATTCCGGAGTAAGTTGCATTATCTTCAAAGAGACTCAGTAGAAACAGCGCTAAACTACCTCGAAGTTAGCCCTGCTTATGATTTGCAGGGTAAGGTTGCACAGCCTCAGTGTACGGACCCACCGATGCAGATTCTGTCCTTTTTCTCCGCTGGTCTTTTTCCACCTAAGAGAGGAAAGAGAAAGCGCCTTTCCAACCTTTGCAAGTTGCGGGTTGATAAGACTCCTCTTTCCGCGGAGAAGGCGTCGCCCCTCGCCCTCGGACCATCCGCTTTGAGCAACAAGGAGGTGTGAGCAGGCATCAAAAGTATAAAAGGCAAGGCTGGCCGGGGTTGGGCGTGGGCTTCTGGAAAGGGGGAAAAAAAGGAGTCCGGGGATCCCCCATTCTTCCTGGACTGGCTTTTTTAAAAAGCCAGGGGCCCCAAGCCTCTAGCACTCCCACCTTGTACCGTGCTTGGCTGCGAGCCCCGTGCATTTCATAGTCTTGGGGGCGAATGGCCCCCTCCAGCCCTACTTCATACCAAGCACACTGGCTCTCTTTATGCACGCAAACGCCCATTACTCGGTCCGTGCTTCATGTTTCTTGGCCTGCCACAAAGATGGAACTCTATGGCAGTTTTAAAACAAAAATAAAGCTAAAAACTGATGTGAAGGTATTTTTGCTGTTATATTCCTATGTTTTAACTGGCTATTCCAGGATGGCATATCCTAAATTAACTAAGCAAGTAGCTGGAGGCTAGAAGCACCTGCAGATACTCAACCTGGAGAACATTCTTTCAGGAGATAGAAATGCTGCAGCAGGGAAAACAGCTGTGGCTCTTTCCTGTATCTATCCATTAGGTTTTCTGCCAAACAGTAGAAATTCAACTGAATTTCTCGTCTTCTGAAACTGCAATTAAGAAAATTCCCTCTATCAACCCCTATCAAGGTCTGGGATTTTTATAATTCATCTTTCTTAGCATACGTACTTTCAAGTTTTTTTGGGGGGGGGGAAGTATACGTGGAGCACCAAGCTAATATCTATTACCCTGTCTCAGTCTGTTTTTTTCTTTTGCAAAGAAAAATATCAATTTTCTTTAATTAAAATATTACAAAATAATGATTTCAGCTTGCTTGAGTCAAAATTCTCTGATTAAAAAAAGTATCTAGTTTTGCTCAAAGTAGAAATCAAAATGGAGAAATGGTTTATGACTGTTAATGCTCTTTAAATAAAGAACCACAGAAACAGATCTTCTTAGGATAAATAGAATATGATTATAAATCTAAACATTAACATAAATAAAGCTTCCACAAATTTAGCCCAAAATTTCTGGGGTGCTTGATCAAGGCTGACATATTCCTTGAGGCGCTGCAGTCCAGATACATCCAACTGTAACTCCCGTCATTTTTAACCAGTACAAAGATATTGGCTGGGGATGATGGGAGTAATTGTTCAGCATATCAGGTTAGGAGCATTGTGGAAAAGAAATAGATAGGCCACTTCTAACCCACCTCAACATGTACCCCATTGGGCATGTCAGGCAGGAGGATTTAAACATTAGTTTTGCAGGGAGAATGAGCCTGAAATGCTAATACAAGAGGAGGTGATGACCAAACCTAAGGGGCCCTCCCTCTTTCAAAATCAGTTGAATTTTTTTGATCAGATTGTTTGAAAGATGGTTAGCAGAGGGGTCTCCTGCAGCTGTGTGCAACAGCTTCGATGCCTGCCCCAGAGTCTGGGAAAACTGAAACACCAACTCAGTTTTTCCCTTTCTTTTCTTCCTGGGTCATTTCCCTAATGAGCCCTTTTGTACCTGGAACATTAACAGTCATAAACCATTTCTCCAAGTCTGGGAAAACTGAAACACCAACTCAGTTTTTCCCTTTCTTTTCTTCCTGGGTCATTTCCCTAATGAGCCCTTTTGTACCTGGAATTCTTTGTATCCTCTGGGAATTTCTCAGGTTTTCCTTACCCTCTAAAGCACAGCCCTTATAAGGGCCTTTAGCTCCCCCTCCCCCATCCCTTCTATCTGCTTAGTGCCATTTGAATTCACCCCAGTGGCTTCCACTTTGATTCCGGGACTTTGAAATGCAAACCTGCCTTTCAATGCAAATGCTCCGAGAGGTTGGCCCAATAATAAAAAAAGGCCTTTCCTCAGGGAGGTGCCTTTGCGAAGTTGGGAAGGAAAAAAAAAACAAAAAACAAACCTGAGCAAGTAGTTCAGGTGAACTGTTAATCAGGAAGAGGCTGGGAGTTCTCGGCAAAGGCAAGCTGGGGAAGACACTGCTGCGGCGCCAGGCACATTATGCACGCTGAGCTACTTGGGGATGATGTATGTGAGTTATCTGTTGGATAAGGACACCAACATGTACCCCAACCCGGTCAGGCACTCGGGCCTGAACCTCAGCCCCCCAAATTATGTGCCTGTGCCCCCTCAGTACTCGGATTTTGCCAGCTACCACCACATGCCCGGGATTAACAGCGATCCTCACCAGGGGCAGCCTGCAGGTACCTGGGGCTCTCCGTACCCGCCTACTAAAGAGGACTGGCACTCCTACGGTGCAGGAGCCCCTTCTTCTGTCGCCAGCCCGGGGCAGCTAGGATACAGCCCCCCGGATTTCAATCCAATTCCGCCACCTGGCTCTGGACTGCTGCCTCCGCCCATGAGCGCCCCAGTCCCCCAGCTCTCCCCAAACGCGCAAAGGCGCACGCCTTATGAGTGGATGAGGCGCCACGTTCCCACTAGCAGCAACAGTGGTAAGGACTTGTCTCTCTTTCTGTCCTTCGTCTCTGGCTTCGGGGAGGGGTCTCTTTTACGCCGGGAGATGAGCAGCCTCTGTGGTCTGGCGACTTTTTCCTTAGCATCCCTGCAGGGTTGAGCTGGCTACTTTATAACATTTACTCTTCATTATCTTTTCCCATCAACTTGTAGACACAAGAATTTGTGGTCAAATGACATTTTAACACAAAAAGGCAGGGATACTTGCAAGATTGGCTACAGATCCAGGAGCGTTCAGAGGTGGCTTCTTTACACAGAAGGAAATTCCACTTGTGCAATATTTGCCAGCTGTACGCAATATGTCACATGTAACCCATGGAGTTATACATGGACGCTCTTCAATTAATGAATCCATGATTTGGAAAGGGCCAGGTCATCTCTTTCTCAAGCAAAGCATTCCTGGTTCAGTCCATGGCTCAAATGATAGTAGCTGTTGGGAAAGCTGGGGCTGCTGCCCAGAATAGCCTTGATCCTTAGGAATAGAGATAGCCTGATTCTAGTCAGCTTGACTGGGCAATAATGGACCAGATATCTTCCCATACTGTGATTGGCTATGGCCTCCCCAGTTGATGACCACACCGGGAGAGAATTTGGAACAACTGAACCTCATTATAGTCAGTAGAATATAAGTTTGCATAATTGTTCACATATCATTTTGTCAAAGTTGGAGTCACAATGTAGGGGTAGATAGGGTAAAGCTACAGAACTACATTCAAAGGGGAATTACAAGGAAATAGGGTGACAGTGATATATAAAAATAAACGTAAAATGGCATATGGGTTGAGCTTCTTTTTGTCTGTGTATGTGTGTGTCTGTATATTTCCCTAATCTACATTGAAAGGAATGATTAGAACTTCCCAAGAACTACCTTTTACTTAAGTCTTTTCCAGTATCGTTGTCAAATACTTCACCCAGATTCTGGCACTGAGTCACAAGTTAATTTTTCTCTCATCAAGTAAAACTGTAGTAAGCTGTATTATTCTCAGTCTAGCTTACTGAAACTCTCTACAGAGAAAGATAATTGATACAGGAAAAAAAATATCCAATATTGATTGTGAAGGCTCTGGAGAAGACAGTTTTGGGAAGGCTTCTTATCGTCTGTAAGTGGGTGTGTGGTTTAGCAGTGCCATCTCAAATCAGTGAGGTAGAGATCACAATAAAAATCATTTGTCTTTTTGTTAAGTTATGGGAACATCTGAAAGGTCACTGTGCATAACTGCCTGTTTGATTTTTGTGTTCACTAAAGTACAGCTGTCTTTCTTTGGTTTCTCCATTGCACACTTTGTCTTTGTATTCTGTATGGCTATGTTGTAACTACTGTTATAAAATTCTACTGTTTTCAATGAGGTTTTGACCTGGCAGTTTATTGCACTCCTTCAGTATGATGAATGGGAATACCATATCCATATATCCTGGATAAGGTATATATTGATATATGTATCTACATGCCAGCTTCATCTTAGTATCCAGCAGTATTATTGCAACAATGGATTATTCCTCTTTCTGTACACCCTCTGAAACTTTTAGCATAGATTCTGGAAACTTTGGGAAGAACTCAAGGCCATCCTTTTGGGCAAGTGTTAGTCTTCTCAAAAATCCCCCATCATTCAGTATAAAGTGAATTCCTGTACAGCAGACACAAGTAAAAGATTGTGCATACTGTGTAAGACACAAAAACATGTAATCTTAATAACCATCTTGTACCACTTCTTGCTCCATTATTAAGAATTCAGCTAAAATTCTGTATTTGGAAGGGCAGTAACCTCTATTTTCTGATTAGTATTTCTGTGGAAATGTACTTGTATGCTTGCTTACATCTAAGCATCTGCACAAGAACAGTTATTGCCTATTACTTACATTCTTACTTTCTCTAGTCTTGTCATGTGGTTATATTCCCACCTTTCAATTTATAACTGATGGGAATTCTCTAATCCACATAAATTATTGCGAATACAAAACAATAGTGTGTTTATATCAATTAAAATGTGTATGAGGTAGCGATGTTCCTGTACTATAAGAAAGCATTGAGTACTTTTCTGTGAATATATAAGCTGCTTATCAGTACAAGATTTTTTTTTCAAAAGGCTCTTCTTAAGACCTGAAAGCTAATGGCACAGTAAATAGGTTTAACTAATGAATGTATGGCACCTTAAGCTTTTATGGGACAGATGTACCATCAAGTGTATGTGTGTGATTTAATGCCCCTTATTTGTGGGAACAAGCTCCATTGATCCCAGCTGACTTGTTTTTTAATAGAAAGGTGAGATTTGTGAAGGGTTGTTTTTCTTATATGAGCTGACTTCCTACCTTCATGTTTAAAAAACTACTTATGAATATAAAGTAGGAATCCTTTTGCAGAGATATCCACATGCATGCTAATAGATATATCACATAGCTTTTAGCTTGCTTTTTATTGTTAGGCCAGTGTAGATTTGGGGTTATAAAGCTGGGGTTAACTTCTGGAGAAAACAAATATAGCTGTTTAATTTTTTTGTGTAGTTTTATTTATCATACACCCCAGGGCAGCATACATTCAAACAGTATGATTCTCTCAGCGACACTACAGTAAATGGTAGGGATTGTTGATCGATGGATAGTGAACTTCATGGCTAAAATGAGCTCTCTACCTTGCAGGCCCGACATCCTGTTCATGGCACTCTAGTTTTTACGGTTTTTTCGAATGGGATTCGATATTTTAAAATGCCCAAGCCGATTGACTGTAAATGAGCGGCAACGCATTTTCTGAGGACAGGAATTCATCCGCGTTTAGCAGGCGCGTTCCGTTCAAAACGGCTTGCGTCTCCGAGCAGAAAAAGGCGCGAGCCAACTTTCCCGCCAAGCCCGGTGCGCCTCGTTGCTTTTTCCCGTCC